ACATGTTGGTTGAAAGAAGGAAAACCTAGGCAAGGTCTGACAGAGAAATGAGAGTCTGAACCAGACAGACGAGGCAGGGGGGAACTGGCAGGTGAAACGCTTTGAGATTGGCCATTTCAAAAGTCTGTTGTAAATGAAGGTGGGAAGCCGCAAGTACAGAGTTGAAACCGCAGCAGAGAGAACAAAAGGAAACAAAGAAAGAAAGATCTCCATCTGCAAAGACAGGAAGGGGAAGGCAGGTTAAGGTAAAGAATCTGTGCTCTCCATTGCTGCTGAAGAACAAGGCAAGGGTGGAAGAAGTTTAGAAAAGATACCAGAAAATTCTTTACGGTGACTTACAAATGCAAATTTTTCTGTCACTCCCAATTCTGTAGCTTTCCTCACAAATACAGTTGTACGTTCCCATAGAATTTATGCATATTTGGTCACAGGCTACATTGACATCCAGACACTCATCCACATCTGGGAAGATTTAAACAATAACTGCTTTTAGGCATTAAGAGACAAGATAGACTTTATGAACTAATGGGCATATTTGTGTTTCTCTTGGTGATCTTTATTAACCAGTAACAATGTACTGCCATCTAGAAAGCAAGCACAGCCCCAAATTCTTTCTCAAATATACCCTGCTAATTATTTTTCTTTCACTCATTTCCAAATTTGCTGTAGTTCATTTACATAGACGAGGTCAGATACCTTGTTTGTGGGGTTTAGACGAAGAACATAAAACTTAAATTCAAAGGTCTCAGGCTGTGCACCATTTTGCAAAATGTTCATTCACTCTGGAATTACTCAATATATATGGGACACTTATTCCAGGCATAATTCTGTGTATGGTTTATGTAAAATTTTCAAGATGGAAGGACCCTAGGCCTTAATCTCATGTGTCTTACTGGTTTATGACCAAGTCTGAACTCAGACTTTGGTAAATATGTTCACGATGCTAAAATTTCATGTATGAAGCTGAGCTTCTAAGCTTTGCCTCAGACTGTGGATACCTTTTCCATTTGGATGTGTGTACGCAAGTTTGAAAATTCATGCCATACAGTCATCTCTTGGCTCACTCTGCTTAAGAACAGATGGTACATGAAATTCATAATTTTTTCTTGGCTCAGTTAATTGGATGAAGTGTGGGAAATGGTAATATACTCTACTTGTTTAGTATATATAGATATTATAGTTGTGTGTTCTTTGCTCTTGTCTACACTGCAAGGCTGGGGGAGCTTGGCTATTTATTCAACAGAATTCAAGAATTTGTTTCTTTAAGCACAGAAACACTATTTGCTCTGAGCCATTAAAGTCTTATACAATGTGACTGGTATAGGAATAGATACCAATCTTTTAATCTTTTCTTTTATTTAAAAAATACAGTTTAAAATAATAGTAATAATGATCAAAAAATGAAAATTTAAAGATAACACATTTAAGGTAAACTTTTTAAAGTAAATCATATCAATGATTTACATGAACTATTCTTAATGGTATAAACAAAGTCAATTAACTCTACTCACTAAATTCAAACTCTCCTATATTAAAAAACAAAACAAAACAAACAAAAAAAGCATAAGCTAGAAATCACCTGAAAGGTAACTGGACAACTTTTAACAAATTAGAAAATTGCAAAATGACTCATCTTAAAACTTGCATTAGCTATATTAATATCAGATATAAAAAGAATTCTGATACAGATTTGGATTGTGGCTCATGAACTGGCAATCCTTTT